GCTTGGGTTGGCTTCGTTATTTAGGTCTATTCGCGGACACTCACCGCTAAGGAGGCATTTCGCTCGTTGATGCTCGACTCGTATGCAATTCTATAACGACCGGATGCATCAGGAATCACTGATTGCCTGAATAAGTCGTAAGGGTGTGTTGTCCCCACCCAACCCCTACACTGAGCTGCATATCTGCACTTACCTGTCACATTTCCATTACTCCGGAGAAAAAGCTATGTCTGTCGCCTTCAACGAAATGACGCGACCGCTTACTGAGCACATTTCTGTGGATTGGAAGATCTGAAAACCGAGCAAGATTCTCGGTCTGCTGAATCCATAATCAGACTGTAGGTCAGCTTTCGTAACAGATACCCTTAATTTTTTCACATTTTTTAACATTAGAAGCAAGCAGAAGACATATCCTTTCAGGTGGCTGCTGTATACCTTTCTGTGGGGGCATATCCATCTCAAACAAACAAGGACATATAGGAACAAATAGAGGGAGTGCATCGGTGTACTGAAGAAACTATTTCACATCAGCAGTGCACTGAGAATTCACGTTGTTTCTGCTCAATCAAGCCTTCATACGTAAAACCTATGTGATACATCTGGCTCTGAACGACTAATCCACACCTTCAAGATCTATCCATCTCGAATGAAATGTAACGATGATGAGACCCCTGATACATCTGGAACGACAATCCACACCTTCAAGACCTATCCATCTTGAATGAAATGTGACGATGATGAGACCCCTTATCAATACTGGTGATGTGAGCATCGTCACAGTAAAAAACAAGTGAGGCCTTCTTGAACATCAAAGGATAACGAAGAATTAATATGCTCAATCGGGTGCCTTGTGACATGAGGCGAATCTTATATTGATTATATTTGATTATATTTGATTTTATATGTATTAACATGTAGCTAAATCACCACTGACTTTTGTTTAAAGAGACTTAGGAGTCTGTGTCTAAGTCGTATCCTGGAAAGTTCAAACTCACTTCTTTTAGGGATGCAACTCTCGAAGTTCGATCTCATACCCTGTCAACAGCATTTGCACTTCGATTTTTACTTTTCCTCTACTCGTTCCTTCTAGCTTCGTAAGTTTAACAAAGTGAACTTACAACAAAAGTGTCCAAACAAACACTGTGAAAGAATCTTCTGTTAAATTTACAGAATACTTTGGTCCTTGGCTTGGAGTACCATGTTCACTAGTCATCTTAGACGGTGGGTTTCACTAAATCAGGGAATCAAAATTCCAGGTCTATCTAGCCGTAAACATTGATGAGCGTGATAAATTTCCGTAAATATTCAGTAGGTAGAGCTGAGTGTTTTCAGAGGTCGTGTCTAAATTTTGTCTTTTCTACGTCCGTTTGTTTCGAGAAAGTTAGCGCAACACAAAGTGTGATTGTTTACAGTAAATCCTAGTCTCGTACTACCTCCGTCCACTCAATTCCCCCAATAATTCTTGGGTTCGCTCTCCCTCCACCATCGAAAATAAAGCAACACTGAGTTCGGCATCACTTTCTGTCCGAATCAGACCACCCACCTACCAGCTGGAACCGGAGTACTACTTCCGACCAGGGGTGATGCAGCCTCGTTTGGACTCTCTGTTGAAAATGCGTGCTCAGTTGTTGCCCAAGGAATACGACGCGACAGTTGCGGCTTCATTTTGTACCCGGCTGGCTAATGAAGTCAAGTTTCTAATGCAGCAATCCGGAGCTGATAGGTGAGTTTGAGATGAATGAAACGTTCAAAATCATTGGAGTGGCAATGTTATTTAATTCGGGAGCGGCTGTCCAGGCGTTTTTTAGGTCAGGAAAAAGTTCGACATAATGAGAGGTTTACCAAAATGAAACTGCGCTTTAAACACCCGTCACGTTCATGAACAAGAATCCTAGTCAGTAAGATTCTTGACTGACCGCATTTCTAAATGACTGGCTGGAATTAATGTGAAACAACCACCTATTTTAAACTGATAGACAAAGGGCTGATCTCACCGGATGCTCATAAGTAGTTTCTGACTATTGGTATAACAACCCCATAGTTACCCTGAGCATAATCCAACCGTTCTTGAGAGAGATTGTCTTTGAGCATCACACAAGTTGCCGAATTTAGTACGGTTCCAGAAAACGCAACTTTGCTGGTAGCAGCCAGCTGTTTCTGCAGTGGACATGCGGAAAATTGATTGTCGCGAGGTTTATCACAGTCGTAGTTCCTTCAGTCGGTTACAAAACCATGTTTATCACGCTTGCCAGACTTAGGTCTCTGATAAACTTAACAGAGTTCCTAAAGGGAACTACTCACAAGGTTGCTGAAAACTCTTCGACACCCCACGACCGGTTTCGCCCTTCTTGGGGCTCATCAAGTAGGTGCAGTCAAGTAGATCATAAGGTTGACGGAAACTCGGTGACTGAGTTTACCGAATGAGTCCCAAGAAAAGCAAAACCGGGCATGGGCTGTCGAAGAGTTTTCAGCAACCTTGTGAACAGTTTCCTTTATGAAAATATACTGCGATATCTCGAATATCGTGCCAACTGAAACACGAGGCGGCATTCGCGTGTTCATTATGAGTCCTCACTGAGAGCCAGTGTTCAAATGACCACCAATTACTAGTCGCAAAAGCACTGCAAACACATTCGTTTTTGGTCATTTTAGGTTCCGCTATGTCGTGTTCTGCTTGGTGCGACAACGAGCAAGACAAATGTCTCAACTCTCGAGCCGAATGCTATGGAATATGAATACCGACCGGTCGATTTCTTCCGAGTATCTGACACCCAGCACACATGTCTACTGCCTTGTTTTTGCCATTTATAAAGAATGAATGTTTCTTTTTCCCCAATGATCGTTAATTGGTTTTTCCAAGCGGTTCAACTGCCCTCCTGAATACAAGAACTAGATAGTTCGCATGAGGTCACTGTGATGTTGGCTGAATACAGGGGTCTGAAGACAAGATAGATACGCAGATCCAATCTATCGTATGAAAGCTGCCGACTACGTGACATATCTTTAAAAAGTATTCATTCCACATAAACCAGACTCATTCTTCCTTGGATTTCCCCGGATTATCTTTGTGAGAATAACAAGGATATTGGGATTCATGTTGGTAAGCTAAAATAATTGTATGGAAGATGGAATTTGAACGTCCAATTCCTGTTTAACGGTAAACAGAGTGACAGGGGGTGTAGCAATGGGATCGCTCTCTTCACCCATTGGTCGACCACACGATGACAAATTCATAGCCCAATCGCGACGCACCGTGATACAAAAATCCTTGGTCAATGAGACTTTTATTGCAAATATGTTGATGACATCTCTATTGAAGGACCCTCATGAACGGATGTCAAACGCGTGGTGGTTTCCTTCAATTTGACCATGTAAGACTAGAGAACAAGAACACCACATCATTCCTAGACGGATATCCTTCGCGGTGTTTTCATCATAAGCTGACCAGAGCCAACCAGAATATCAACGTCTGCGCCGTGCTCATTCGACGTTACAAGAACAAGACGGCTCACCAGGCAATCCCGAAGTTGGGCATGGATTTCTGAAGGGTATTCTTAAATAGAAAGGTTACCCCAACAGTTTCATCGACATGAACCTACACGAGGCAGTGAAGAACAGAACGATGTCTGTCGGACTGGCATTCAAAGACGGTTATGGTTACCTCTTGCGGGTTACGAGTTTGACTTCCCACACCGTAAAATTTACCAGCCAGCCCATAACGATCCAACATCTCATGGATAAGATGTTTCATACAGGTACAAGTATGTGTGCGCTTACTCATTCTAGTGTTTGGTAAATTTTTCAAACATTGTCTACACCTTGAGAAGGCTTTTTGAGGGAGTTTGTGATCACCCTATTTTCGGTGAGTGAACATCCTGTGAACGCATCATTCGACCCACCCGAATTAAGCTTTCATGTTCGTCTATTCTGTACGACCTGAGCATTCTATGATTACGAATCTTGGCAAAAGCTGAGGTCATCATAATGCGTCCGATCGATCCGGTTTTTTAAATGCAGAAGCAATCCGTCCGGAAGCTCAGGCTAGCATGTATAAGTCGAGAATAGTGCTTAGCTGCCAACCTGATAGCATGTTGACTAACAAATGGCCCAAGAAAAGACAATCCTTGTACTACAGGGACTGTTGGTTGAACGCTTCTTGAATACGATCACATGAAGTCGTTAAACTGTCTGAACACTGTTCGCTTGCCCTAATTAACGTTATATGATATACTGGATGATAATTTCAAACAGATATCTTTTTTACTCCCCGTCTGTCTCTTTTCAGTGCTTCTACTTCTGCATGTAGTGTTGCAGACAGAAGGCCATAAAAATTTTAAGGCACACCTCAAGATTACTCTGAGGTTAAAGGGAAAATCCGAAAAGACGGTGAAATAAATGATTGACCATTGATTCATACAATGTAGTTCCAACGCAATTAGCCGAGGTTAAATTTTAAAAAATTCCCTTCGTCAAAAAATCACTCAGGCGCTTTAATGGGAGCACACATGTTGACAATTAAGACGCCATAGCCTTGTGAATCACACTTTTATGATATTCTTCAACTGAATGAGTCCCCGAAAAGACGTCCCAGGTTCCGCTGTGAACAGCAATAAATATAACAGATTACTTGCCTTTTGTGTTAATGCTTTTAGAGATAACGCAGTGTTTGATAGATTTTTTACATTTGCGAGCTGTACAAATAAGCCCGATTCCCGACTTTGCATCAGCCGTATTTTCTACCCGAAAAACAAATTAGGCAATTGTGGAACAGAGCACTTATTCACAGGTCGATATGATGGTGACACTGCACTCAAGGGAAACCAAAACGAATCCTTCGTTTTCATAGAGGAAACTACTCACAAGGTTGCTGAAAACTCTTCGACAGCCCACGACGTGGTAACACTGCGTTCAAGGGAAACCAAAGTGAATCCTTCGTTTTCACAAGGTTGCTGAAAACTCTTCGACAGCCCACGACCGGTTTCGCCCATCAGGTCGGTGCAGTCCTCGAGTAGTTTCCTATATGAAAATATACTGCGATCTCTTGAATATCGTGCCAACTGAATCATGAAGCGACCTTTGTGCAGCACATTCAGTCGCAGACTATCATAAAGAAGAGATTCAGTTGCGTGTCTCGTGAAAACCAAATAGATTTGCAAATGAGTGTATTCCTCGGAATCCTTCATTTATTTTGTTATGGTCCGAGGTGATTACTAGTTCTATGCTAAGTAGTATAACTGAGTACAGTCACTTGGGCGCGATTTCAAAATTCAGCCTTGTGATTCAACCAGTGAGGAATACAGACAGTTAAACATCTTGACGCATCTACCGAAACCATACCTGGGCTGGGTAGTGTCTTTATTTGCTTAGTTTCTGTCCCGTAAAGCACAAACTTGCCTTGGTTCAGCCTATGTTCCAGGAATGCTTACGGTAATATATCTCGCTGCGTCTACTGAACATCTACCTGGGCCAGACAGTACCTCAGATTTACAGGTTTCTATTCAGTGCAGGCCAGAGCTGCATTGGTTCAGATACTATCCCACACAAACAGACTAATTACTACTCCAGAAAAGTGTGCTGAGGAAGCTGAAACGCTAAAACATATAATGGAGTTATAGAACTGTCCTGGCCGTTTCATTGAATAGCATCTCAGAATGAGCGATAAAGAGGTAAGATTTACGGTACCGAGGAAGTCCGTTCAAACAGAAACCTCCTAAACTGGTGATCAATGTTCCACTCAGTTTGAGTGGCCCTGTAACAAACATACACCGCGGCACTGCTGACCGGTAAAGCATAAATAAGGGTCATGCTACTCTGATGAATCGAAATTCCGACGTCAGGTTTACCAAAAAGCCAATGCATTTGCCAGTTTACCTACAGTTGCGGAGATCCACACATCGCTAGATCCCGTACCTTGTCGGTCAATCGTGCTTAAATATGCATGGATATCGACGAGATATTCAGTCAAGACGGGACCTGAAGTTAAAGTTTTTTCATCTTTCCAGGTTGCTGTACGCAGCTGTCGTCCACTCATTATCGATTCAGTATCAGTTAATCGATTCAGGCCTGTTTTGCGCGTTCAGAAAAACCTGAGAATTACTCAGGCTGCTGCAGTTGTATTGATTGGTCACGTTATTGTTTAGTTCCGTTTTATACCATTTTACATTAACTGCAACAGAGAGGGTTTTGTGAAATGGATTCATTCCGAAACAATGCTATTCTCCTTGGCGTTTTCGAAGTGATTCATTTATCACAGCGCTTTATATTCATACCTTAGCGGGTTACTTCTGGACCCACATGAGTGACTGAATAAGCAGAATAAAATAGTTATTAGTTACAACAAATATTATGAAATTTCAAAATATTATCATACCATGTTTGGAGATCCGTGCTCTGTGGAAGGGTGCGTATACTCCTCAGTGACCTCAGGCACTGTGGACAAAGCAACGGAAACCACCAGCTTTGGAGTGATTGGACCAGAGTGCTCGGAAGAAACTTGGGGAATAATGTGAGCTTGAACTTCCAATTCACCATGAGGGTTTGAACAGTGCAGACTGGAAATTGGGGTCGCAGCGCCTGATTCAGAGGACATAAACGTCCCCAATTCCCCTGTTGCTTCTCGTTCAGTAGAGGAACGCAAGAATAGAGAAGACCCGCGTGGGCGTGGCTGGATTGAAAAACGCCAGCGTGGAAGAGCAGCAAATCGTTCGTTTTCTAGACGTTCCCGCTCACGCTGGTAGAACATATGTCGCTGAAATGTACTCAAATGGTGTCTTATAGCCAAAATCATCCAAGAAGTCAACAAAATTATTAGCAAGATTGCAAGCAACCACAAACCAACGGCCTGCCAAGCAAAGGGATTCTCCATGGCGAAACCCATAGCTCCGACGATGCAAAAATACACACCTATGTAAGTGCTAGGTGTTAGAAGCACAAGACATATAATGTCGGCCAGTAGATGACGCCGAGTTGTATTCGACCTAATCCAGGCACAGAATAAGTCCAGTCTGGTGTAGCTTCGCGGGCGTGTGAAGGTCGGGAGCGATCGCCTCCTTGACGGTGTCATGATATACTCATAACCACATAATTCACACTTGACCTTACCAGATTCGTATAACCATCGCTGAAGGCAGTTGCGATGTACCAAACCAACGGTACCCTTACAACGACACGGTGACATTAACGGACCTTCAAGCTCACCCTCATCCAGGCAAATTCGGCATCGGAACTGGTTGAAACTCAAATCGTCTTGCTGTTGACTGACTTCTTCGTCTGGTGGTGCACAACGGTCCGTTTTCTGAACAAACACACTGGTTTGTATGGGTGATGACCTACTGGTTGGTGGGCTGTGGAGTACTTGATCAAATTTCTCTAGTTTGTTGCAAGATTTAGAATCGCTGTCGATCCCACATTGATCCACTGCACCTTGATCAGAATTGTCACTGGAGTTACTCAAAACCGAAAGATTCAAAGCCAATCTTGGAGCTCCAATAAGAGCGGAGTTCAACAGTTCGTTCTTGAGATTGAATTTTGCACTCTTCTTTACGAATGGAGTGGATGTTTTAGGTAGGGAGTTATGTAGATCTTGTACGTTATCCTCAGTACAGTTGTGGGAATCATTGAGTAGTGATTGTGTGAGTGACTCTCGGTTCATTTGACTAACCATGGATTTACGTAATAAACAATGTTGACCCAGCTGTTTGGTGTTGGCAAACAGGACATTGTCATCGGTTATCTGGAGCGATGGTCTTGGAGCGTTGGGTGGTCTGCTTTGAAGCAACCGACTGCACTCAGGGCTTCTCAGGCAGTCTGAATCATTGGCTCGTGATCTCGAAAAGGAACTTTTCGATGTAAAACGTTTCGGACCAAAAGATGGTGTTGGTGCTGGACCAGTGTGTCTAGAGGAACTTTGGAAAGGACTCGAGGTGTTCACTGAGAGTGAGTAGTCAACCATTCTAGCGCAACTCGCGTGGTTTGCACGTTAGTCCGAGTTCGACGGCTTAATATTGTTCACGCTCAACCACCCTTCGAGTTCCTTACTAAAACTCACGTGACAATTATGGTCGATCTCCACTCTGTTAGTGGGCCGCATGTTCCGATCGACAGGAAAGCGATGCGTGCTCATGCATTTCAGTTGCATATCGGAAAGCCAATCACAGAATAGTTCGAGTGCATTCATCTGATTTGTGGTAGAGTTCATCGTTAGACAATAGCAGTGAGTGGGCAAGCAAACCAAAAATCGATAGTTCGACTGCGCTGGTTGGGCCACGCACCAAAGGTTAAAACTAACCAACTCCAGACACAAAGCAGTACAATGGCATGCCAGACGGGATATATCAACACAACAATCGTCGAGTACAAACAGTTCTAAATCCGGTGTTTCCTAATCGACAGCAATTGATCAGACAGTTCACCAATATCGACTTTTTTACACTTTGTCTTCGTGTATATCCTTAAGAGCAAAGTCAGGTGTAATTTTGTCCGTTAATACTCAGCCATTTATTGCGATCTTTTTTGTGTTGCCAGTACATTTTTTAGAGACTAAAACTAAGTTGACCATGGTATGCACAAGGCAGGAAAGCACGTTGATCTAAATGACTTCCCTGACTTTCCCAATCAGTGTGCGACCTTATTCATTCCGGCCACAAATTTGAATTATTTTACCGCTTTTGCACAGACACTAAAAAGATGTGATATCAACTGTGACTTTTAGAACACCCTAATCGGCTACAGTGTAGACGTCCTAGAGTTTTCAAAAATGAAACCAATAAAATTCTGGTTGATTTTCATCGGCAAGGTGATTACTAAACGTTCGAAGACATTTATTCGAATGTTAGACACAAATAGACTTTCTGGCCCAGTTAGATAAGCAATTGCGCAACCGAGACTCAGGAAAACTGCATGAAAACACCAAAAAGGTGTGGTTTCTGCTGTTTCTTGTTTGAACGCAGTCACTCTCAAGTTGGGAGTGTCTTTTCTTAAATTTCTTATCTCCAAAGATGAAACCAAATAAAACCGGTCGCTCACACGATCAGTTCATTGCAAACGCTTGTTCATTTGAAGATCAGCCAGGAACACAAAAATGAGTTGGACGGTCAAAAAAGAACAGGCCTAAACTCATTTAAATTAGCTACCGGTTAACCCAGGGCCCTCTCACACAGTTTTCTGAAACTTCAATCTTTCGGAGACAACAATTAGCCATACAAAAATACGTTTAGTTTGCCTCACTACACACTTCAGATAGATCGTATCGTCTCAGGCTGCTCAGCGTGTCGGATGCCACTGACAGCTAATGACAATCAAGGTGCTTAAAACAAGTAGTTTGGTCAGAAAACGGGGAAAAGGAAATTCCAAAGGTAAGATGAGCAAGGTGAAGTATTTTGGAGGAACGCCTCAGAAAAGACTGGCAATTTGAACAAAGAAGTACCTAAAATTTGACGATAAAAGGCTACATCAACGCGGAACCAATTATAAAATGTTATTGATCATCACCGTCATCATTATTGACAACAAAGCATCGACGTTCAAAACGAATGCTCCACTTTCGCACAACAGTTATGTCCTTAAAAGCCCTATGGCGAAAGAAAAGAATAAAACCGTAACAGGAAGCGACTTTTTGAGGTGTCTATACATCCGAATATTCACTCAAATGATCTGAATGGAAACTGAAAACGAAAACGCACTGATAATGATTTGCAGCCATATCGTGAAGCCTCACCGAAAAGGCACACCGGGGATCATGCGGTTCCCATCCTGGAAAGTGAGTCGCACCGAGACATATCGTGATTTCTTTCACACCCCTTTGCCAAGTCAAAGACTGAAGACAACTCTGTTTCAGCCACCAAGAATCAAGCACGGAAAACAATACTCTCGGGCAAAATAGTGTTTCATATGCATCACCTGATGAACACAGCTTCTGGTGCTGGACACATTCTTCAATTGAAATCCCCGTGTAATGACTTGGTGGATTGTAAATCCTAGAAAAAAATCGTTCAGCTTCAGCACCCTTTCGGTGCCTAGCTGCCATGCCACACGAAGGAAGCATGAGGGCTGGGACGCTGCCAGGTTGCCCAATCCTAGACAGGGGAAGTCGAGAGGCGGAGGTCGGATTCGAACCGCGGACCTTCTGGTTAGGAAAGTCGCGCTCTAACCACTTGGGTCATCTCGCCCAAATCCTAGATGTTAAACGCGTTGGCGCAAATTCAGGCATGTAAACCAAAGTCGATACTTGGATTGAGAAACTCACTTATCAGCTAGCTGTAATATAGACAACCCTAACTCTTAAGTTTCCATTTGACAAGTGATGTATTGTAGCGGATGAAACTCTGGTGGTCATGATTGTCGCATGTTTGGGTTGAAGGGACGAATTGAATTTTCCGCTACTCTCGAAAATCTGTGGTTGCTTGACTACTTGATTTGTTACATCACTCCCGAGTAGTTCTCACTCGCTCCCTCGTCCTCAGTTGTTGGTCTCTATGGGGATGCTCCTGACTGATGAAGAGCATTATATTTCACCTTCCTAGGGAGTGGTCTCTCAGGTGCTTGTTACAATCTAATGGCGCAGCGTTCTCCTAATTCCCCTGTACAGGTTGTGTAGTTGGATTACGGGGAAATGATGGGAACAATTATAAAACAGATGAGATGACAGTCGGTGGTTAGAGCGCGAATTTACTGACCGCAAGGTCTGTGGTTCGAAACCGACCTCTAGCCCTCGACTTACCATGTTTAGGCTAGGGCAACCTGGCATTTTCCCAGCCCTTGTGCTTCCTTCGGGTGGTATGACAGGCATCGAAAAGAAGATATAGCCGAACGTTCTTTTACAATTATAAAAAATCAGATAAAGCCGAAAAATATAATTCTGTCTCAAAGTTAATTTCAATAGTGCACTGCTCTTGAAGCAACCTCCAGTTTTATAGACGTAAAAGGCTACCCATAAGGTTGATGGAAACCTTTCGATAGCCCATGATCGATGTCGCAGAAGTCAACAATGTTAAGAGGAGTAAACTGTGCGATTCGGGTGGCTTTTCAACGTGAAACTAGGGTTGCTATGAAAAAACGGGGAACCTTTTTTTTGGAAAATCCTCATGATCTGCGCTCGTTTGCTTTACAACTTTGTTTATAAATCTGTCATCACCAATATCTAGCTTTGAAAGTCATGCACCCAGCTGGCTTTCCTGATCTTGAAGAACGCTTTTAGCGGGGGGAGGCAAAGACACTATATTTTGACATCCGAGTGTGCATGTGACTTTTATTTTAAACCATTACTCGCTTATTTAACAGATCGAATAGAATCACGAGGAATTAAATCGACCTGTCTCGTCTGATTTGTTTGACTAGTTGTGTTGTTGGCTCATTCACTTCATCGCTCTTTACAGGACCGATTCTATCGTGCATTTTCAAATGTGTGCTGTATCCGTTAAAAATTTTGTTCTATTCATTCTGCCGTTTGTCGGTCAGCGCCACACAGTTCTTAGCAGACCAGCCTTGGAATATAATGAAATCGTGTCCCAATGTCATGGGGTGATCGAATATTTGGCCCCGGCCTTATCCACTCCAATAGTCAAAGGTTGGCTGCTATCTCCGGGCTACTCATCTTCCCATGGCTTGATGCACGGGAGCCCATATAGTCCTCCACACCGTCATCGGAGTGAACAGCCACGACTTATCCGGCTCAGAATGGAACACTTGAAGTTACCAGAGGGTTTCCAACTTGTGGTAAGAAACCTGGGGTCTGAAGAGCCTTCTGATGCGGTTTTTTATACTGGAGTACAGAACAAAATAGAACTGAGCGTTGCCGGGACCCCAGTTCAAATTGAACTTCGGTCTCCGAGACTTTCAGATGATTTACACAAGGACGTGGATGATCTACTGCATGTGTGGATACAACATTCGTGTGTCCATGCGGAACCTACTACTTTGGAAGGAAGCCATTTGGGTTTGCAAACTTGTTCCAATCCAATATCCACTCTCCTTGAGCAAAACACAGAGTTGGCCTGCCGATCAAGGTCTGTTGGAACCATTTCAGAAGTACGCTGCATTCAGCAAAGCCAGTTATGCGACGAAGTAAAAGACTGCCAGTACGGAGAGGATGAATTGGTGTGTGATTCCCAACAGTATACGGAGGAGAGGGTGCTGACTTTCTTGAGTCAGACACACAATGCGCCCAGTTATCACACCCCTTTTTTCATGCACCAGCACTTACTAAAAACTGGTTGTCTCTTTGAGTGGGACGCGTGCTTTATGAGTGAACTTAGATCACACTCGATGGTGTGTATACCTTCCGCTTGGATGTGTGACGGTCAACACGATTGTCCGAACGGAGAAGATGAGTTACCAGAAACATGTTCCCGGGTTCAAGGGACCAAATGTCCTGCTCAAACATACCCGTGTGTTTTGGACGCCAGATGTGTATCACATCAACTAATATGTGATGGGTATACGGACTGTCTTCTTGGGAGCGACGAAACGGAACAAGCTTGTGACTGGAAGGCCACCATCGCGGTCCAACTGGATCGTGAACGCGATTCTAATCGTCTGAACGGCGAAACACCAAAAAGTGTGGGGTCAGGTGAGCGAGTAGGTCCACGTGATCTGTCAGATAATTCAGTGTCCACAATATCAGTAAATTCTGGTCACTCAGTGAGGCGCCGTGTTGACACCCGGATAACCCAGACTCCACAAGTCACAGAGGCTGAGGTCTCGATCAACGACGTCCTTCTAAAAACTACAGGTCTAGTAACAACATATGGTCCGCACAGCAGAAACAATTTGACATTTCCAGGCAGTAGTATTTCGGTGACTGAGATGAACCTTACTGAAGTTCCTAGTGATTACGACACGAGCACGGTACTTCCGTATAAGACCAATCAAGGGACTGTTTCACCTCGGAGCGACAGACTGCAGGAAGCCCTTTCGACCACTTTCGCGCCAGTCTCGCGTTTTGCAGTGTCTAGTTCGATTAAACCAATCGCCGATAGAGTGATCCACCGACCGATCGCGGCTACTAATGACCAACAACATGAAACCACTGATCGCACTTTTTCATCCGAAAGTGCACCAAACTTTGCAACTTCTACAACGGAAGGATTCCGAATTGAATTGGTTTCCAATATCTCTGAATCTGATACACAAGCAAATGTAACGGATGGCTTCACTGGTGCTAGCGCCAACTTGCCAACTGAATCATCCAAGAATAAAACAACAAGAAAGGCTATCACCGGTGTATCAGCCCTTGTTGATCTGACATCAACCGAGATCGTCGGTATTCCCGCAGAAACTGGTATCAGTATGCCAACCAAAGCGGCAGCTAAAACGTCAGCGGTATCGAGCGAACTGTTCCACAATATCATATCATTCACAGAACAGTCGGTTTACGATGGATTG